ATCCAGGACTTTGTGCATGTATTCTAAATCCCTAGACCAAATGGAAGTATCCTAAATGAGTAAAATGAAATGAAATAATTCTGCAGAGAAGGCCTTTGACAAAATTCAACATGGATTTATGTTCAAAGTCTCCTAGAGGGAATTGGACTGGAGGGAACACACCTCAACATAATGAAAGCCATATATAACAAACCCACAGTGAACATCATTCTAAATGGAGAAAAACTGGAAGCATTCCCATTGAAATCAGGAACCAGGCAAGGCTGTCCACTATCTCTACTTCTCTGTAAAATAGTGCTTGAAATTCTTGCAAAAGCAGAAAGACAAAAACAGGAAAACAAAGGAGTAATAATTGGAAAAGAAGAGATCAAATTACCCTTTTTTGCAGATGATATGATATTTTATCTAAGAGATGCCAAAAATTCCACGAGAAAACTCCTAGAAATTATTAACAAATTCAGTAAAGTAGCAGGTTACAAAATCAACCTACAAGTCTGTAGCCTTTCTATATACCAATAACAGGCAATCAGAGAAAGAGCACATGGAAACACTCCCCTTCATAATAGCTGCAAAAAAAAAAAAAAAGAAATCTTGGAACAAACCTGATCAAAGACATTAAAAAGCTCTACAATGAAAATTTTAAATCTTTAAAGAAAGATTGAGGAAGACATCAGAAGATGGAAGGACCTCCCATGCTCATGGATTGGAAGAATTAATAATTGTGAAAATGACCATTCTACCAAAAGTCATTTACAGATTCAATGCAATGCCAATCAAAATCCCTATGACATTTTTTACAGAATTGGAAAAATCCAACCTAAGATTTATATGGAAACACAAAAGATCTCGGATAGCCAAAACAACTCTGAGCACTAAGAGCAATGCCGGGGGGATTACTGCACCAGATTTTAAGCTGTATTATGAGCTATAGTCATAAAAACAACATGGTACTGCCACAAAAATAGACCCATATATCAATGGAACAAAAGTGAAGATCCAAATATGAGTACATGCGATTTCAGCCATCTGATATTTGACAAAGGGGCCAAGAATATTCACTGGAGAAAAGACAGCATATTCAGCAAATGGTACTGGCAAAACTAGATCCCCACCTGTAGAAGAATGAAACTAAACCCCTATCTTTCACCTTGCACAAAAGTCAATTCCAAATGGATCAAAGACCTCAATGTAAAGCCTGAAACTCTGAAACTGTTAGAAGAAATCATTGGCAAAAACGTACAAGATATAGGTGTAGGAAAGCATTTTCTAAACCGGACATCAATTGCTCAGGAAACAAGGTCAAGCATTAACAAATGGGACCTCATTAAACTAAAAAGCTTCTGTGCATCAAAGGAGGCAACCAAGGAAGTGAACAGAAAACCACAGAATAGGGGAAAATCTTCACCAGCGACACATCCGACAGAGGTTTAATATCCAGAATATATAATGAACTCAAAAAACAGAGAATCAAGATAAGAAGCAACCCAATTAAAAGATGGGCTAAGGAGGTGAACAGAGTTCTCAAAAGAAGAAGTAAAGATGGCTATGGAGCATCTTAAAAGATGTTCGACATCACTAATAATAAGGGAAATACAAATTAA